CAATCTTTTTTGAGCATTTTGCTAAGAATCTTTGTACTCAAGTTTTAATTGACTTCATTTCTTTTCTCTAAAATTTGCATATGATTTGCATATGATTACAGTATGACTATAGTCACAGTATGACTGTTGTTGAGCAAACTGGGTTGACGTTTGCTAAAATCAAGTAATTCAATATAAATTTATTTATTTGTATTGACATTCACAAATTATGCCAATATTATTTTTTACATTTGTTTTCTGGAGAATGAATCATTATCCATTGCTTTAATAAAAATTAACCATAACACGTAACTGTATGAATGTAGCATACTCAGTACTTAGCTGAAATACTATTATAGTGATTCATTCAAATTAAATTTTGGGTCTATTTGTTTATATATATTTGCTTCAGGATTTTTTTTAGGACTTCTATAAATGCCATGGACATAGTATATGTTTGTTTAATTTGGTAAACATGTTTAAACTTTTTAAATTTTCACGTAAAATCTACCTTGAATTGATCTTTGCTTTTAAGAAAGAATACCATGAAGAGATAAAAGAAAAAAATATGTATTTTTTGTAAGGTCACGTAAAATATTTTATACTTTATTAGTAATTGTTAAAGTAATTTTAATATTTTAATTGTTTACATATCTTACTTACAATTGATTGTTGATACAGAGATTCTTTATTGGAGATATTTTTTTTATAATGAAGTGTCTCAAACTATATTTTATGCAATTGAAATTAGTACAGATGGTCCTTGACTTAACACCCATAATTGGAACCAGAGTTTCTGTTGCTAAACAAGGCAGTTTAGGAGCGAGTCACACCTAATTTTATGATTTATTTTGCCACAGTTATTGAATGGATCACTATATTTTTTAAGTGAATCACATATTATCCAGCTTTCCGCCTTAACTTTGTTGGTTTGCCTGACTGGGAAGGTCACAACTGGTGATCTGCCAACCCAGGATGCTGCAACTATCATAAATACTTTCCCATTTCCAAGGGCCCAAATTTTTGATCACATAACTATGGAGATACAGTCAAGGTTGTAAGTGCAAGAACTGGTCATAAATAATATTTTTTATAAGCATTGTAACTTTCAACATTCACTAAATAAGTGGTTGTAAATGTTGTGCTTAGCTGGTGCAGACGGCAGCGGAATTGGACGGGGGGAAAAGGGGACCAGTCAGGGAGTTTGGAGAGGACTCGGATGAGGGTCCTGCGTCTGATGCATAGATGGGGCCAGGGCCATCTGGGAGTGGGGTGCTGCCTTCGGAGCCTTTGGAGTCTGGCAGCAGCAAAGCAGAGGACCCAGGGGAGCCTGTTCCCAGTGCGCGTGTGTGCAGAGCTGCTAGAAGGTGAGAGCAGCTGAAACAAAAGGAGTCACTCAGGAGTAAGGCTGGGAGGTGATTGCCTCTCTCATAAGGGATAAAAGTCAGGCCAAGATGACGAAAACTTTGCAGGAAGCAAAGTAGTTTGATCAGTTCCTAGTCATCCTGGAAGTTCTTTGTACTTCGGTTGGTTTCTTTTCTAGTTAATTTGATACTTTTTGGCAGCACTTCACAGAACTGAAAGGTGTGTGCTTATCTTGGGGGACTATTTGAGTTTAATTCTGGCTGGGAATGAAAACAATTACCAGTGTTGCAATATAATAGGTTTTGTTTTTAAAACATGTTTGTGAATAATTATGGTTTATGAAGCCTGTGTCAGAACAGTAAGTCATAGTGATAAAAATAAGATAACCATTTGTTGTTCTGACAAATAAAGGAAAAAACGTATGTTTTTTAAAAAAAAGTCTTTTCACTTAATTAATTGCTTTTACCTAAGGGAAAGAAGAAACAGAGATGGTGGGATACTGGCATTCCTACAAATAGTATGGTTCCTTGCTGTGTAATGCTTTATAGATGATAACTAGCTCCTTGAATCACACCTAAAAGCCCACTGAGAGTCAGTTTGCCTCCATGAAATAACAAACCCCTAAAATTGTTCTTGCGGATTCATTCTGGACCAACTCCAGTTTCCAAATGCTCTTTGAAGATAGCCTCATGTGCTGCATATTACAGTAATTCAAGTAGGAAGTAGGGCCTGAGTCACTTTTACAGACTCCAGCCCAGAAATGGTGTTCAGCAGGTTCTGACCAATTCTGGAAAACCAATAGCAGAAATTTTGAGTAGTTTGGAGGACTGGCAAATACCACCTCTGACTGGCCTCACCCCCATCTATTCTCTTCCTCCTGAGTCCCAGCTGTTCAGCTTGGCTTTCTTTTGTTGCCCTGCACAGGAGAACGGAGCTGGAAAGCAGGTTAGTGGGGTGGGGAGAGAATGGGATTTTGTTGTATCCTTCCCCCCAGGAATGAGGAGGAAATGGAGATTTTACAGTATCCTTCCCCTGCCACACCCACCAAGCCATGCCCACAGAACTGGTAGTAAAAAATTTTGAATACCACCACTGTTCCAGCCCAGTGAAGGAGACAATTGATAAACAAGGTGAATTTGAGCAAAGTTCTTCCTGGCTACTGGCTGTTTAATTGGGAGTCTTGAGTTCATAAGAATCACCAAATTGCACACAATTTTGATTGAGGAAGTATAGCTCTATGCAGAATTAAAGGTGAAAACTGTTCGTGTATACTTTCTTACACACACACACACACACACACACACACAGAGAGAGAGAGAGAGAGAGAGAGAGGAATTTAGCAGAAATAGCTTTAGTGAATCAAAAGTATAGGCCCAGAACTGTATAATAATAATAATTGCAGAATCACCCTGGCTTCCAGGCTTTCAACCCACAAGGAATACGATTGTCCTCTTGTGTGAAAGAATACATAATTGAATTAATGTCTCTTTCTGCTCAAAACAGTGTCCACAGTGCTACCTGTGTTATTTTTTCCCTATAACATTTCCATGAGACTGATAGGGCAGAGAGTAACTGTTCCAAAGTCACTCACGGAGCTTTTGTGGCTGTGGATATATATTAGCTTCAGCATCTCTCTAATGACTGTCCAGCATTTTAAATAAAGAATAGCAGAGTTAGAAGGAACCTTGGAGATTTTCTTGTCCAACTGCTGACTCAAGCAGGAGACCTTATATCATTCTGAACAAATGGCTGTCCGATCTCTTCTTTAAAACCTCCAGATATGGAGCACTCACAACTTTGGGTGGCAAGCCATTCCATTGATCAATTGGTCTCCCTGTCAAGAAATTTCTCCTTAGTTGTAGGTTGGATCTCTGTTTCTTAAGTTTCCATTCATCACTTCTTGTCATGCCCTCAGGTACATAGCTTGATCCCCTACTTCTGTTTCAGCCCCCTGAAATATCGTAAAACTGCATTCATGTCACCTCTAGTCCTTCTCTTTGATAAACTAGACATACCCAGTTTGCATGGTTTAGCCTCCAGTCCCCTAACCATCTTTGTTTCTCTTCTTCACTCTTTCTATAGTCTCAACATTTTTTTGGTAACATGGTCCCCAAAACTAGATGAACTATTTCAAGTGTTGTCTTACCAGTGCAGTATAAAATGGTATTAACCTTTCATGCTATCCCTCTGTTCATCCAGCCTAGGACTGCATTGGCTTTTCTTGGCAACAGCAACACTACTGGTTCATACTTAAGGGCTCCTTGATCCCTGTCAGTTGCCGTTGTTGAGCCAGGAACCACCTATTTTATACCTGTGCAAGCTGAGCTTCCAGTTTTCGGTGTTCCTGCATGTGTGAAGACCAGCTCGCTGGCACACGCATGAGCACCTGGGAGCTGCTGTTCCAGATTCCAGAATTCTGCATGCACAGGTGGCCGGTGCGTGCATGTGAGCTGGGGGGCTGTTCTTCCATTTTCCGGTGCTCCCATGGAGGCAAAGACCACCCGGGCAGGGCACACATGCGCAACAGGAAGCTTGTCTTCCAGTTTCTGGTGCTCCTTCGTGTGCAAAGAACAGTTGCATGTGCCGGAGCCCGGAAGAGCAACGGGCAATAGCTGGTGTGCCCAGAGAGATGGCTCTGCGTGTCACTTCCTGCACACATGGCATAGGTTCGCTGACACTGAACTAGGTTCTCTCCTTGATTAGTTTGCTAATCCATTTTGTGGTGATGCTGCCTATTTCACATTTTTTCTACCTTACCAAGGAATAGACTCTAATCCATTTTGTCAAAATGCCTTACTGAAGTCCAGCTATACTAAGTTTGTATATTTTTTAAAAAATGTTACATTATGCCAAGTACACTTGGTTTAATGTAAGGTCTTTTAGAGTCTTTCTCAGCCCACAGTTATTACCAAAGGATATAGAAAAATTGTAGGTTTATAAAAATTGTAAGAAATGTAAATTCTCAATTGCTCTCAATAGCAGTATTAGTATATATATTTTAGCAGAATTTCTAATATTGTCTAATTTTGTGTAACATCACATCTTCTTTATTGGTTCCTGATTGCTTTATTTTTACCAAGGCACTTTTTTCTCATTTCCAACATTGTCTGACATTATTTTCTGAAAAATGACCATCCAGCTTTTCAAGTTAACTACTTGGGAAGTTGAAATAAAAAAAACTGATCTCCCATTAGTTTTTTTTAATTTTTTTTAGAAAGTTCCTCTTTCAAGCTATTACTGATAAAATTATTTATTGGTTTAATTTATATTCCAAATTTCTTCAAAAGCTGAAGAAGTCTCAAATTCCTCCTTTTTTCCTCCTTTGGAGTAGGTTTGGCTGAAAAACTTGTCAAACTTTGATGACCTCAGAATGTTCAGTATCACAATCTGCTTCTCCTTAATTCTAGGTGAATATCATAATACCGTAGCTGTTAATTTGAAGTAATTTCTAAAACGGGCACGTTTTAAACCAGTTGTCCTTCAAGACAAGACATGAGAAAAAAATGTTGTCTTTGTTTTATTACAAATATCAATATCTATGTTTGTCAACTGAATTTCCATTTGTTGAGAAGTGTCTGTTGCAACACTGAGTCATGACTCTTTTGGATTATAATAGTAATTGACTATGATACCTGTTGCTGTTTTTTTTTTTCCAGGTCAGTTGGCTGCAGGTACATGTGAAATTGTTACATTGGACAGAGATAGCAGTCAGCCTCGAAGAACTATAGCCCGACAAACAGCTCGTTGTGCATGTAAAAAAGGACAGATTGCCGGTACTACAAGGGCAAGACCAGCATGTGTAGATGGTAAGAACTGGAATATAACTTGACTTAGAATCCATCTCAAATGGAACTACAGGTAGTCCTCAACGTATGGCCACAATTGAGTATAAAACTTCTGTTGCTAAGTGAGGCATTTATTAAGTGAGTTTTGTCCCATTTTATGACTTTTCTTTCCATGGTTGTTAAGTGAATCGTTGCAGCCATTCAATTAGTAATACAGTTGTTAAGAGAATCCAGCTTTTCCATTGACTTTGCTCATCAGAAGGTCGCAAAAAAATCACATGCTCCCACAAGCACTGCAATTCTTCTAAATATGAGTCAGCCAACAAGAGTCACAATTTTGATGCAGTGTTCGTAAGTGAAAAACAGTCATAAGTCCCCTTTTTTCAGCGCCGTTGCAAGTTTGAACGGTCGTTAAATGAACAGTTGTAAGTCGAGGACTACCTGTAGTTATCAAGGGGTTGATTTGATCATATTGTGAAAAAAATATTTAAAACTTCTCATTGAGTGCTTTAATGCAGACAGGAGGTTTGAAATTCTTGCTGCCACCTGCATTTGACAACTCTTTTGTTTGTTTTCTGATACAAAGGTTTTGCCTGTTATAAGGCTTGTGGCTTGTTCTGTCAAATGATGAAATTGAGAAATGTTAGGTCATTTTCTCAGTGCAACCACATTGACAAATTGGTTGTAGACCAGCGTTTTAATCATTGGTATGCTATACTCACCAGGAGGCAGAGTAGAATATCTTGCCTTTTCTGTTAGTTTAGTTTTTGTGCCAGCATTTACAAAAAAATAATAATAATAAAATTGGTTTGTGTCACAAGGTAGAAAATGGTCATCCTGCACTGCAGCATATATTTTTTTTAAGTGCTATCCCTAAGGTTTCTTAAGTGGTTTTTCTCTCATTTTGTTTAAAGCTTAAGTGTTTGCATGTGGTCATCAGCAGTGCTGAACAAAATGTGCTTTTTCAGGAGGCAGTTGGACATTCTTTTTTTTTTTCCTTTTGAAGATGTTTCGCTTCTTATCCAAGAAGCTTCTTCAGTTCTGACAGGATAGTGGGAAAGGAAGGATTTATACTCCTTGCAGAGAGATGGTCATTTGCATCATTTTAGAGCAGGGGTCCCCAACCACCCAGCTCCGGACCGGTACCGGTCCGTGGATCATTTTCTACCGGGCCGCCGGTTTGCTGGTTGCTGCCATCTTGTTTCGATGAGAAACTGCTTCCAGGTGAGCTTTTCCGGTTGGAAAGCGGCGTTTGGGTCCTGAAGGAATCCTCGCGCCTTAGTTTCATCGAAGGGGGGGCGGCTTCGAACGAAGAGCCGTCCTGATGGCGGAGGAGATTAAGAAAGCACAAAAAAGGTACAAAGGAGGAGTTGAAGGTGACGGGGAGAAGCGGAGGACGGCTGGCTGGCCGGTCGCTCGGCTCGCCTTGCCTTGTCATGCGTGCTGATGCCGGTACCGGGCCGCGGGTCATTTTGTGATGCCGGTACCGGGCCGTGGCACAAAAAAGGTTGGGGGCCACTGTTTTAGAGGATCCTTGAAGCATCTGTATCCCCAGGGTCACTTGAGTAGTACTCCTGGTTCTTATAGTCTGCAATTTTTTTTCCCTTCTGGAAATCCGTTCCTACTCCCATGCCATTCAAAGGATATTCATTCCATATTCTACAGCTAAACGTCTGTAGAAACTCTACAGACTTTCAACATTGCTGAAGTACAACGCTCTTCAGTCTTTATGTTAATGTTAATCATATCATGATGAGCATTCCTGCCTGAAAATTAATGGGTTGGTGGAGAGAAGCCAGAAAGTGCTAATGATCTTAGAATGGAACTGTTATGTCATACCTTTTATTTCTGCTATCCTTTCCTTCATTAAAGATGTCATTCTGTATGATTCACTGCCGATGCAGTGTGTTGCCTGCAGCTTCAAAAATGCTGATGTGGAAGGAGGAGGAAGATATTTCCTTTTAAATTCATTTTTTCTACGTTTCAAATGAGTGGCTCTGTTCTTACCAATATAGCACTGCAGCAAAGTAATGAAGGCTTACAAATGAAAATACGTTAACAAACATTCCAATTTCAATTAAAAGAAAACAAAACAAGATTTTGTGTTGAAATGTATGGCATTAAAATAGCGTGTTTGAAATAGGATTCAGAGAAAAGCGGGGGGAAGGATCATTCTATAAGAAAGTAATTTCTGATTTCCTTTAAATGACTCATGCTTGAAATCTCTTTTTATGAAAAGTGCTGAGCTTTCATAAATACTTGATCAAAAGTTGACCCCCCTCCCACCATCAAAAGGGTACTTCACTGCTGGCCCACCTAGCTAAAGATGAAATATTATTTGATCTCTTTTTGTGTTTTGCTTTCAATCTTGTTGCTTTTCTGCTTGCTATTTGAATTCTCCATCACATTTTACTATGGTACGTTTAATCCTCCTCCTTTCCATGACACCCCACGTTCAATGAAAATAATTTTCGGAGATGAATAATTTATATCCAGCTTTCCTCTAACTGAATAAATTTGTTTTGAAAATCTTGCAAACCTTTACTCTGGAAATGCAGATATAGGTTTGGGGAACATAGTTCATCATATATTTATCATTTTGGAACTACTTACGTTGAACAAGTGGCATGAGGCCAGGTTATCTGAGGATAGCCACCACCAGTGATGGGTGGATTCAATTTTTTAAAATACCAGTTCTGTGGGCGTGGCTTGGTAGGCGTGCCAGGGGAAGAATACCGTAAAATCTCCAGTCAGAGGTGGTATTTGCCGGTTTTCTGAACCACTCAAAATTTCCGCTACCGGTTCTCCAAAACTGGTCAGAACATGCTGAATACCACCTCTGGCCACCTCCCAATTACATCTGCTCATCCTCACAGAACAGATGGGCTATGGGTCCATTTCTAAATAGTTTGATTTGCAGGATCCTGGAAATAGACCTCTTCTGCTGTAGCACCTGCCCTATCGACACTAGCAATTATATCTGTAGCATTTGAGGCACTTACGATCATTGCAAAGAGCATTTAGGTGCTATTATCAAAACAATATTTAATAAAATGTAAGTATTAATTATTAGTATAAATGTCAACCAATATGAACAATTATTCACTGAATGTGTTGAATAGTGTTTTAGAATTAGTTTTCATGAAGTTCAAGCTCAAGAAATACTCCAATAGGTGGAAGATAGCTAGTTAGCTATCTACCTACCTACCTACCTACCTACCTAGCTAGCTAGCTACCTACGTAGGTAGGTAGGTAGGTAGGTAGAGTCAGCCCCAGAGCCATTTTCCCCCTTGGCACTTCAGGGCTGCCACAGCGAAGAAAGTCGAGCTGTGGGAACAGGAGGGGGCCTGAAGAGATAACTGGGGGATTATAGCCATAATAAAATTCTTTCGCTTGAGATACAAGAGTTTTTCCACCAGGTGCAAGAAGGTGGGGTCTAAGATTGAGTGAGCCTTGGACTGCGACCTGATTGGACCATGTGATGGACTACATGGGCAGGGGAAGGAAAACTCTACTTTTAATTAGGGGAAAACCTGAGGGGGGCTTAGAGTCAGGTTTCCCCAGATGTGCCAATATATATGGCGTGCCTAATCAGTCTATACTTTGAGGAACATGCCTGCCTTGGAGTTTTGATTCTGTTGGGTTTGTTACTTGGAACTCGGATGGATGGATGGATGGATATCTATCTATCTGTCTGTCTCTCTATCAAGAGAGAAAGAGAGAGCATGTGGTAGGGAGGGAAACAGAGACAGAGAGAGAGAGAAAGAGAGAGACAGAGAGGGAGGGAGGGAGAGAGGGGGAGAGAGAGAGGGAGGGAGAAAGAGAGAGGGGAAGAGAGAGAGAGAGAGCGCTCCCAGTGATTACAATGTCCCTTAGTTTTTTGACATTTTTTATGGTCATGTGGCCATGTACCTGGACTTAAGGGATCTGAGTATCTGTTGGAACCTGTGAATATGTTTTATTTGTGTTGTATTTAAAGTATTTGAATTGATGGCTTTCTTGTTCTTGGTTATTTTTTATCATGGCTGCCAATTGTCAAATTAATTCCATCATAAAAAGCTGGGGAGATGTAGCACAGATTCTGTATTTGTCTTCCTGTTGAGTTGATTTCCTGGTCTCGTTTATCTAGGGAGACTGAGAATGCCATACCTTCACCTAGCACTCATTTTTATTTAATTTATAAACATAAGACCAGAGTACTGTAGAGACAACATTAGTTCCATTCAGTAGCTTTATTTATTTCTTGCTGTGTTAGTTTTGAAAACCTACAAGGAACTATAAGTCAAAACTGATTGTTAATTGAATTGTGATTTATGAGTCTGTTACAAAAAACAAACAGCCTGGTTTACTTTTCAGCTTTTTAAAATTTGTCTTTGTAAGAAGCAATGTAAAATATGGTGCATCATAAATAAAAAGCAGGAGTAATACATAATTAAATTAATGCACTATGATTGTGACCCATGAAATAGTTATGGCTGCAGTTGGACTTTAGGTCTCTAATTGCACTAACTCAAATAGTTGCTTTAAATAAAATAGTTGCATCTTAAAGGTAAATATTCAGTAAAAGTAAAATGCAATAATAATATATCTCACCTTACTGTATTCATGAACTGAGCTGACATGACAGGTATATTTCACATGGCTAAAACAGTTTTATGGGTTGTTGTCCATTACTTTTTAAAGAAATACTCCAAATACACTGAAGAAAACCTGTTGACCTATTGGTGGTATTTCACTGAAGATTTAAGGCTTCATAAGTTTAGAGAGCTACCTTTATTTATTTATTTTGTCATCAACCGTCAACCAATCTGTGGATCACCCCTCTCCATGCCTCTGTATCTCACGCCGCCTCCTTCATCTCCTTCGTAGTTAGATCTGTCATTTATTTATTTAGATTTATACAATTGCTAACTCAACATTTGACCCTGGGTGATAAAGAAGAATGAAAATTAACAGTAATTTTTTTAAACAATGAAACAACAAAATAAATCAGGATCTGCCATCCTAAGGGTTACACTAAA